CATTACAGTTGGCGTTGCCGATTTGTCAAGTTCAAGATGGACAGTTCCTGGCATGTGACCAAGTCCTTGGAACACATCCGGATAGGCATTCTTGACGTTGTTCTTTGAGTTCATTGAGTTTTTTGCGATTGGAGTTTGAAGTCTGCGAGGTTCGTTAACTACTGCGATGTTGTGATGCTGTACGTGTATCAAGTCCAATCGTTGTGCAGTACGCGATCCAATCAGTGGTGTGCTCTGGCCCTCAATTATCACAAAGGCCACATTGTATTTGTGATGTTTTTAGGGTTCACTAGCAGGACAGTTGAAGTGCCAACGATGGGAATGGTTGCTTGATTGTTATATAGTGACAGTGTCTTCTTTGATGTATCTACCTTTGTGCCTACAGGTAAGTACATCTGTAGGTAGCACATTGCATGTTGCACCACAATCAACTTGCGTCTTAATTCTGTGACCATTGATTAGAAATGTGGCCATGATCTTATTTGGGTACCGTTTGTTTACATTGTCTTCTCAAGTTTTAATTTTCCCTATCACATCTACAGTCACGACCTCAAAATCAGAATCAGAATCAAAATCTTCAGTATCTTCATCTAGTGCATGAACTCTTGTCTTTCCTTTCACTCCATGTTTGGGCACTCTTTTTGGCACCCATTTTTGACTTGAACTTGCACCTTGTTGCCTGCATTTTTGCGAGAAATGGTTCACTTTTCCACAGGTAGTACACATCTTTCCATACGCCGGGCATTGAGTTTTCACTAACTCATGTTTTCTACCACAATATCTGCAGTTGTTTGTGAACTCTTTCTTTGTAGTGTTTCTTTGCTTTTGTTTTACAGCATTAACCTCTACTTAAACCATTGCTATGACGTCACACTATTGTTAAAAGTGTGGATTCGGAACTACGAATCTTTAGCAAAGTGTAGGTTCGGAATTACGAATCCACACTTTGAACATGTCGGACAATATTCTCCATAATGAGCATGAATAGGACCGTCTGCGTGAAAATTTGGTTTCCGAAAATTACCAATGCATCTTCACTGTCAGATTCTCCGCCATCACTGCAAAATCTACTTTTAGTCAGAAAGAAATCGTCGTCTGAATTATCCATTTTGACGTAAGGAGCCTATACACACAAAATGACTTGGTTGTACCGGTGTGGCGATACACATGCTAAACACGCCAGGAAAAAAAGTTGCAACCTGACGCCACTTCCGCGCTTGTGTACAAAGTCTATGGAGAGTCATTTTAAGTACATTGTATTTCCAAACAAAATTGGAAACATTTCTCAGTCCCAGATTCATGTATTATCATCATTTTTGCAACAAATGACCTTCATTGAGATGATATATGAAGAAAAAAGTGGCGTCAGGTTGCAACATTCTTCTGTTGACGCAATGGTTTAAGTCGAAGAATACACTCGCAAGTGTGGATTCTTAATTTACAAATTCACTCGGTGCTTCGCGCCTTGTGAATTCTTAAATTACGAATCCACACTTTCTCTTGTATTCTCCTTAACAGACTCATCTGTTTTAGTCATTTTCATGGCTTGCAAGTGCGTTATAGTTGCCTCTGCTGCTTTACAATGCATGACACATTTATCCAGTTTGAGGCCTGATTCTTGCAGCAAGTGTTTACGCAATGTGTTATCAGTTATACCACATACAATTCTATCTCCAAGGAAATCCTCAGAAAGACTTCCAAAATCACAAGTCAATGCTAACTCCCTCAATCTAACCAAATAGTGGTCAAAACGTTCATCAACTTGTTGAACGCAGTTGTTAAACTGGTATCTCTCATAGAGTATGTTTGTCTTGCCTTTGCAGTGCTCTTCCCAGAGCTTCAAGATTGTTTCCAGTTTTTGTTTGTCCTCCTCCGTTTTGTACGGGAGGTTGTTGTGTATTTCCAGGGCATCTCTGCCTATGGCAGTGATGAATGCGGCAACCCGAATTCTGTCAGGTTTGTCCACAATGTTAGTTACAATTTTATAGCTGTCCCACAGCTGCCTAAACTTTTTCCAGTTGGCTTTTAGATCACCAGTCACCTGCAATGGAGGTGGAAGTGGTATGTGTGTGCGAGTTAACACCGTATAGTAGTCATGATAGCAACTACAGAGCTTTAAGCTACAAATGCTATATAGTATACGCTATATGGACAATAGCACTGGAAGACTAGTAGCAAGTCTAATTCAAACTCAAAGAGACGATCATGGCCATTAAATTTGAGTACGATTATCTCTCAAACTAATGTAAGTGCTAACCTCAGATCTACACAAATGATAACAGAGAATCTAGTGTCCATTTAATTTACGAAGTACCATCCATAAAGTTCATTTTATGCAACCATTCCGTAGCACAATGTACATACAGTCGCATAGTCCACTCGCGAATCGAAGTGTTTGTGAGCGTACGTACGTTCCCTGTTGAATTAGATGAACGATGGAATGTTTGTTGAAACCGTGACCAAAATCACGAATCTCATGTGTACAGTGGGGGAGCAGGACGTTTCCAATCTGACACCATGTAAATGTTTGATGCTATTTAAAGGATGCTGCTTGATTCTAGGTGATTGTGTTTTTAGGTAACGTTGATCTGGGTTACTTTATTAGCGGCCATTAATGCAAGACATTTAGACTGGTCGATAGAGGGCGCTAGACCAACTATAGTTACAGCCACTAAATCCAGTTTTTCTCAGCTCGGCAATTCACAGTGCTGAAGTAAGATCTTGCAGTCCTCGGTCCAATCTGACCACCATTTCCAACACTCAGCCCGGCATCAGGAAGCATGCAATCATCACAACCGTAAGTGTTATATGTGCATGTATTTACACATTAATTTTTGCATTGAGTGATTTAGAAAACTTAAGAACTGAATAATCTAAGGCCACATCATGAACTCTTTAGATCTCTTTGTAAATTGCCATGGTTGTGAAATCAAAACGAAGAACTATTTACTTGTATGCCACCATGACAGTGATTGGATTGATTGTGTACCAATTTGTTTTTCAAATTTGTTAGACAAATAACCTTAGTGTTCTGGTGTAATTAGAATTCTAAGAAAACTAAGTGTTCAGAGAAAACAAATACAAATGTTTAGAAAATAACCAGGGAAACACTGTGAGTCATCCTTAAAGGGAATATACAACATTTGCAAACATCGAAAAATAAAAGTACCAAGTTTTTGCGAAATACCTTAATAGGATGTTGGTAAATGACAGTCTAAAGCATCCTGTAAAATTATGGCACCTGGTATACTGTCATTTTCAAGAAAAGTGGTATTTTTGTATCAATTTCCAACGCTGATCGGCCGATCAGCGTTGGAAACAACTGGCTTTTTTTCAAATACTGGACCCAATTGACCATTGCACTTGTTTGCAATCGATTACAAACCTATGAACGGGTACGAGCCAGCAAGACTGGTTCCCTGACCTTACAATTCCCCAATGTATGTAAACTGCTCTGTTTCTTCTTATACAGAGTCAGGGAACCAGACTACAGGAAAATGATCGTTTTTCTTGGTTTTTATAGCATTTTCGAACCCAAAACCTCCAAAAAGTCAGTGTAACTATATTTGCTATATATTTCTAACCCCCCAATTCCATCCATTTCTGAAAATTACAGCAAAAGCAAATGATGTATATTCCCTTTAACTGAAACCGGGTGATCATTAATTATTGATAAAAATTGACCAGTCAAGAATCTGCGTGACAAAGTACAAGCCCAAACTTGATTTGATTCATAGAACATTTGTGTGATTTTGCTAATTCATATAAGGGCTCAACAGAAAGTCAATATTTGATATGGAAGTAATTGGAATTTAAAGTTTAATTTGGATCATTGTAAATGTCATTGTAAATAATTGTACATAGTTGAATTGTTAACAATAATACTTGAACAAACCAGAAGATTGGTTGTGTCTGTTGGTTTTATCCTCTCTGTCGGATATTTTATTTGATCATTAAAAGAGGTTGTGTCATTTTTCGGGTATATGTAGCCTAAGGTGTGATGAAATAAAAACGACTATTGTGTCTGTCATGAAATGAGTACAAAAGGTACTTTTGAGAGCTGTTAATACTACGCTGCATCGGGAGTCAGATTTTATTACGTCACGATTTACTACGTTTTGTTTGCTGCCCCCAATGACGACTTTTACACAAATTGCACGTTTGGGTCGAAACAGGACCTGAAAAACAGCTCTCAAAAGTACCTTTTGTACTCATTTCATGACAGACACAATAGTCGTCTTTATTTCATCACACCTTAGGCTACATATACCCGAAAAATGACGGAAATGTCTTCAAGCATTCCAACCTCTTTAATAATTTTGAGTTTTTAGCCGGGATCACCATTTATAAAAATCATGGTAAGTCGATAGTTAGAGAAAAGGAATAAATGGTGACATCGTCATGTTTAGGCTCAACTATTGCAATTCACTATTATATGGACTTCCAGCTTCCACCATCAATCACCTTCAAAGAATCCAGAACATTGCAGCCTGTATCCTGACATGCACAAAGAAATTTGAACACATCAGCCCGGTACTCAAAGGATTACACTGGCTTCCTGTTGAGCAACGCATAATATTCAAACTCCTCCTCATCACCTACCAGTCTATCACGGAACAGCACCCCATTACATGCAACAACTCATATCGCCATACAAGCCTGTGCACCAATTACGCTCTTGTGATGCACACTTGCTTGTGGCTCCATCTTCAAGGTTGAAGACTTATGGACACAGAAGTTTTTCTGTTGTAGCCCCTCGCCTATGGAACAGTCTGCCAATAGCCCTGAGATCAAAACCCGACACCGACTCTTTCAAATCTTGTCTCAAACTTACCTCTCCATTCAAGCTCATCATTAATTGTCTCAGACCCCAGCGCAGTGATAGGTTTTCCTAGATACCAGCGCTTTATATTATTGTTTTTATTATTATTATTATTATCATTATTATATTATTATTATTATGTCTCTGGGGAAAAATGAAGAAGAAATGTCATGCTTACCCTCAACTTCTGCTTCCAAGGCCTTGACAGACACTGAAAGAAACACAAAATTCACAAACACATAAGTCTTATTTAAGTTCAGGACAAACTATATTTTCACATCAATCAATGCTATATTATGAGGCACAAAGGGTGCATGTGTATGTCACGCTTGGTTCTAGAGGGGGGCTAGCAGGGGTGGATCCAGACATTTCTGCAGGGAAGCATGCTGAAATCTAGACCATTTCTTTTCTCTGGACACTTAGGCCTCCGAAAATCAAAGGGGGGGGGGGGGGACTCGTACCACATTTTAAATGGGGAGCGCCGATAAAATCCCACAATCATGCACACTATAATTATTACCCAATAGTGTAAAAAATCCCCTTCTCACAACTATTTTTGTTGGGGGGGGGGGTTGCCACTGCCATTTTTTGTATGGAATTTTTTTGGGGCTTGACAAATGTTGGGGGACTAAATTAAAGCCCAAAACTCAAGTTTTGCCAATTATATAGCATTAGGTTTTGCTGCAAGTATTTTATTTAGCTCTGAATGTAAGACCGTAACGGGGAATGGTCTGAATTATGCATTTTTTGAAGTAAATTTTAAACAATTAAACAAAAAGACAAACTCTTATAGAATTTCATTTATTGTGCACTCCCTTTTGCTCTCTCAAAATAACCATTTTATCCAAATCAATTATTTGAACCTGTTATGTCCACATTTCCTTCTCAGTACCCTGCGAGGTGCGATCAATTAATTTTAGTATGTCACTACTGTGATGAACTTTTCAGTGTGAAGGCCGGGGCATCCATGTTATGGTCCAACAAAATCTCTTCAGTATAGGTGTTTTGGTGAAGATATTTCCTTCTCAAAGTGTCTAAAAAGACTATTTCAGAATTTCTTTGAAGTCGATGAGACTTGACAAACCATTATTTTCTTCACTAACATAACCAACTGCATACCGTAATTTTCGGAATATAAGCCGCGCGGAGTATAAGCTGCAGCACGCAAAAATCTGCAAATTAAAATTTGAAGTCGGCGTATAAGCCGCACCGGCGTATAAGCTGCACCGACCGCAGTGGTTTCAATTTTGTAAGGCCTCCAAATTCTAGTCAAAATGCTCTGAACCAGTTCCATTTACACTACAGAAGCTGTAAAAAGGGCCACAAAAGTTACATCAAATCATTTACAATCGATACTCTTACAAACAAATATGGAAATTGATGATGAGAAATAAACACCGGGAATTGCTGCCGGCTGCCCCGTCCGGTCCCCGGCCTTAAACATTAGCGCATGGCCCGGCAGCCTGCGCCGGTGCATGACAACATTTTCCCGCAGCACGTGAGAGAGTATGCAACCCACCCTGTGTCGTCTGACTCACTGGAGCGCTACAAATATTGCTTTGTGGCAACAGATGCTGATTTGTTTTGTCCTTAGAATAAACAGGTCCGTTTTTACCTCAAAAGTTATCAAATTTGTGTGATTACTAACGAGTAGTAACGTTAAAAATTCAAATTTTGATCATAACTTTCTTCAAAAATAGTCAAAACGATGCTGACATTTTTACGAACGAATCCATTAATTTCGTAAGGGGTGATTTAGCCCCTGATTTTGAGTTTGATCGTTTTCTTGAATACATTTCAAGAAAAAAATTTGATTGTGACGTTGAACAACTGATTATCGAATAAACAAATGTTTTGAACACCATAAAAAGTATTAGTCGTCTTTTTTCTTTTTTTAACAGCGAAAATATTGGTAATTATTGTTCCCAAGAAAGTACACCTCTTTATTACCACAAACGGTGTGGTCCACTTGCGCTATGGGGGGATATGCTACATGGCATGCACTAGCGTAACGTATGTACAGCCGGTCGCAAACATCGAAGCACGGACCATGGTCTGTGGTCGAAGACAGCTTTCACTGTACTTTTTACCGCTCGGTACCTTTACGTGGGACATGGTTTCGGTTTGTTAATGACTTTCTTAATTGATAATTCATTTCAGCAACAGATCTCTTCTTATACCAGTACATTAAATACACATTTGAATTTCATTTTTATTCTTCAAGGCTCGGCGTATAAGCTGCCTGTGTATAAGCCGCAGTAAATATTTTCATGGGCAAATTCAATGTATAAGCCACGGCTTATATTCCGAAAATTATGGTATTTTTCACATCATTTTTGTTTCATCATTTTTTTTGGGGGGGGGGGACATTTGAAAAGGGTTCACTGCCCATTTTAAAAAAAAATGGGAATTCTTGTATTAAAACATATATGGTTAAGTGTAAGGATATTTCAAACTTGCCAGAAATTTTACTTTCTGTGAATTTTTTTGTAAAACTCTTGTTTGGGCAAAGCACTAAAGGAGAAAATACAAAACGTTCCAATGAACTCTTAAGAGATGAATCAACGTTTCATTTTCCTTAAACAAAATCTTACCATCAAAGAGTCGAGTCATAGGCATAAATTCATCAATGAAGCTGAGAAGTTCAGGGTTGTCTTTCTTGATCTGTTGAACGACATACTTTAAGAGTGTGCATGACTTATTTCTGCCCCGGCAATCTGCTAGCTTAAAAAAAGAAAGGAAAAAAAAAGAATGAATAAAAACAAAATGAAGCTTAATAAATAATTAAATAGTTGAGCAATTATTCGCACATGGTGTTTCCGCAAACCTTTCATTATTTAGTATCTCCACCATGCAAAGCCTCAAATCTTACTTAAAATGAAGCTTATTGATTCAATAAGCCGTACGAATGACGTCACACTTTGTTTACATGTGCACTTTCCTATGGAGCCAGTGGGGGTCCATGGTCCACTGAGCACCATAGGAAAGCACACACATAAACAAAGTCGGATGTCATTAGTACTAGAGGCTTGTTATTTGTTATTGGTATTTACATCCACTGAATCTTTTTAGCTTTTGAAGACAACCAAGTGAACCACATGGTGGCAGCGCTGCTCCATGCTTTGCTGACAAAGCAGGGGTGTAAGCAGGGGGCAGCTTGGTGACATGCCACTCAAAACCAGATGGAGGAGTTCTGCAGCCGCTGGAACTAAGACTGCACCAAGGCAATTGAGGAGATCAAGGCCAGACTGACAACCCCGCCTGTTCTTGGCTACCTCGACTCCAGAACCGTTAATGGTCGAAACCGATGCTTCCTTCAGTGGACTTGGTGCTGTGTTGTCTCAGTACCAGGAGCAGGGGCGAGTAGTAATCTCTTATGCAAGTCACGGCCTCCGCCCTCCAGAGAGGAAGCTGAGCAACTACAGCTCCATGAAGCTCGAGCTCCTAGCACTGAAGTGGGCGGTGACAGAAATGTTTCATGATCACCTTCTGGGGGCAGAGTTCTTCATCTACATCAACAACAGCTAATTTAGGGGCAATGAAGATGAAGTGGGCCAACCAGCTGGCTCAGTTCAATTTCAGTATCAAGTACTGGTCCGGGAAAGCCAATGTCAATTCCAATTCAGTTAAGGAGAATACACGAGAAAGTGCGGATTCGTAATTTAAGAATTCACGAGGCGCGAAGCGCCGAGTGAATTCGTAAATTAAGAATCCACACTTGCGAGTGTGCGAGTGTATTCTTCGACTTAAACCATTACGTCAAAAGAAGTATTGGCATTAACAGTGAGTGGAGATGAAAAGACTTGGGATAAATGTTGCAACCTGACGCCACTTCCGCGATTGTGTACAAAGTCTATGGAGAGTCAAGAAGTATTTCCTAACAACATTGGAAATATTTCTCAGTCCCAGATTCATGTCTTATCATCATTTTTGCAATGAATGCCCTTCATTGAGATGATATATGGAGAAAAAAGTGGCGTCAGGTTGCAACATTTGTCCCGGCTCCTTCCGTTGACAAATTGATAGTTCAGACGATGATTTCTTTCTGACTCGAAGAAGGTTTTGCAGTGACGGCGGAGAATCTGACAGGGAAGATGCACTGGTAATTTCGGAAGGAAATTTTCACGCAGACGGTCCTATTAATGCTCATTATAGAGAACAATCTGACGTGTTCAAAGTGTGGATTCGTAATTCCGAATCCACACTTTACTAAAGATTCTTCGTTCCGAATCCACACTTTGTGACCAGCGTAACAGATTCGTAGTTCCGAATCCACACTTTTAACAATAGTGTGACGTCATAGCAATGGTTTAACTGAGCTGACAGCACTATCATGCAGAAGAAACCCTCCAGGTCCTCTCCCAATCAACATCTCTTCAACAAGTCAGTGAATTACACATGAGATCTGCCCAGGTCAGTGTTTACGCAGCAACTGCTTCAGAGGTGCTGTCTGCAGTTTGTCACCCCCCCCCAAAATGGGGGGCAACTAGTGCGCATGCGTGACTTCTGCAGGCAATTACTGTTCATTTTCAGTCCCACACATACTACACACAAGAAAAGAGCTGACCAGTGAAGTTGCATCAAACGTCTTGCTGCATCTTTCACATCACTGGAAGAAATTTGAGAGTTTGCTTCGGAACTACTATGATTTTTTTTATTCGCGCTACATATAGTAGGCCAAAAAGGTGCCCGCGCATTACATAGCCAGTAGGAGTTGGCCTAGACGTTCCTACGGGTTCGTGGGTGATATTGGTTGGTTGTGATAACGCCCTCTCGTGGTGGCGGGTTATCGCGTTATAAACTACCAATGGCCATGAGATCACAACCTGACACTGAATCTTTCAAATCTTTCAAATCTTGTCTCAAAACTCTCCATTCAACCTTATCATTAATATTATTGTCTCAGACCCAGCGCAGTGAATAGGTTTTCCTAGATACCAGGGCTTTATAACTTTTTATGATTATAAGTATTAATATAGGTTTTCCCCGCCAACTTCACCAAGTTTTCATTCAATTTAACGCCTGGCTCATTCAATTTAGATTGAAATTGAAAGATCACGCAGATCGTCATTCGACAATCAAAAAGAATCATTCAACTTCACTATCCAAGCAATCTATCGCCTTTTAGCTTCACTCCTCCGTGTAAAAGATGCATTCAAATTAAAAGTATCGCGTTGTTCATTCCAATTTCATCTGAACCAGCAGTAAGGGGTTAATCGGGCATTCCTTTTCATTAATGGGCAAACATATTCACATTTTGTCAAGCATGTTTTAAGACAAGTTCCTGCATGTAAAATTCTGAATTATCTCGGCACAAATCATATCTGATGTCTTCAATCCGTAAATGCATACCTCTCTTTCTTAATTAAAGGGTTCGTGCAATGAATTCTTCTCAGGAACACATTTTGTGCAACTTTCTACTTCTCTGAAATGTAATATTAAAACTAGTTTGACATCCTTTTTTGGTTAGTCTTATTGCAAAGTGCACGGCTTTAAACATTCATTTAAAAGTATCCATGTTTTTCCGGACTACTGAGCGCGCTGTTGCTGTGATGTGATTTCAGGAAGACACTGTTCAGTTTAGGGGGTTTCTTTCAAATTATTCACCAAAATTTGCTAATTGAAAACATTTGTGAGAAAGGATTGCTCATCGGCTTACTGACACAGCAAAGAATCACAAAAGAAAAGAAATTTATGACAGCAAAATATCCAAAATTCTAGCAATTTATTGTTGCTGAAATGGCCATGTTACATTAATCTGCATGAAATGACATCAAAGTTTTGCTCATGAATATAGAGCTGTGCATTAGCACAAAAACGGAGAAGGCACCCAAAAACAGCCTTCAAACTGGAAAAATAAAACTTTAAAATAAGGTTAAATGTGACAAAAAGATGTACGTAGCACTGGAAACAGCATTTGTTTTCATAACGAATGCCAATGTATGTATATTTTCGTATGAATGGCATCACGGTACCAGTATCGAATGGGGAATGTGCAGTTGGATCGTGGTTTATTTCAAAACTTCTCTTGCTGTGTCGTACCTTCAGTAGCAATGTGTGAAGTCGCCACGCCTATACTAACAAACAGAAGCAGATTTTTTTTACACAAGTAAAATGTACAGCGTAGCAGTAGCAGCGCAATTTCAGCATAGCAGGTGCTAGCGCTATTTAATGCCTGGCTAGAACACTGGAACCAACACTGGCCTACTTCATTCTGTCTTGTCGCTATGGCTTGGAACGGCAGGGCAGCTTTCTATTGTTTTGCCACAAGTGACTTCTTCTTCCATATATAGTGCAGGCTTCATGAATGAAGATAAACGCACAGCAGGTTGGATGCGCGCCCAGTCATAATATGTACGCAGACAAACAAAAATCTTGTGCATGATATATATACAGTGAAGTGCGGTTAAAAAGTTAAATGTCTACATGTTAGATGGTGGCTTCCCTCCATGCCACCTTGAAGGCATTGAGTGTTGCAAAGTCACTAGGATCCTTCTTAAGGGAGTTCCATTCCTTGCTGGTACGAGGGAAGGAGGATGAGTATACTTGAGAGCTGAAGTAGGGAGTCCAAAAGCGAGAGAGATGTTGGTTCCAACTGATGTCTACCAGATCATAGCAGATTCTGTAGCGCATGGCTAGGCGTACTCTACAATTGGTCTTATATGGACTGTATGTTGATGGGATGCAGATGACTGCCTGGTAGAACGGCGTGCTGTGAGTGGAGGTAGTTTGAGTCTGTCCAGAGGATGAGGCAGAGGAGAGCACTGCATTGTCCTGAAGACTGTTAGACCAGCAACTTGCCTACGATGACTTAGAGACTGAATACCTACAATCCCGGCCAAAATGGTTGGGACACTTGGAAATAACCTTAGCCTCCAACGGTCACCAACTCCCCCGCTCCCCCGGTCAATGTTGTTCTCTTCTGGGGATGGAGCCCACACCGTGCAATGAGAGACAACATTGAGCGGGGGCTGGGGGGTTGGGGGCCCAGCGAGATTTGGCCAGGATTGTCTGAATTTTTTCATTTACCAAAATATGCATGACATGCCGTTTGGGGAGCAGTTTTCTTGAGTTTTGTTTCCAAAATATGAAATGGCGGCTGAAGGTTGAATGAAAGAACACATATTTAGGCCAGATAATAATGATTGATAGTAATACAAAAATGGAAATAAAAAATACAAATGTTCCAATTCTTTAAAATCACAACTTTATTGTTGCGTGCATCGTAACAGTTCGCCATGACGGTTCACCATGCCATTTTGGCCAACAACTGTACAAAATACAGTTTGTGTTTAACTTGAAAGGCTCATTATGATACACAAACAATATACAATCCTTGTCAATTTGTTTGTATTCACTCATTCCGTTAATTTGCCGAAAAATCCATCGGTGATCCATCCAAACCAAATGATATAAAGGAATTGAGTGACTCTGCTTATTATATAATTTACAGTGGTGAACCGTGGTTACACTATGGTTTGGATGGATTTTGCGTCCAAATAAGGGATTAAAAACAAATTGAAGAAGATGATACGTTGTTTGTGTATCCTAATACGGCTTTCACGTCGAACACAATCTGTATTTTGTAAAAATATCGGTCAAAATGACATGGTGCACCGTCATGGTGAATCATGTGCATTGACCACCAGCGCGCGCGTGTGTGTATTATTATTTGAGCGCGTACTACGCGCAATATCCAAATCCAATATCAAGGCTATTGTACA